CAATGAAATATGATGGCTTGTGTGGCTCATAATCACGGGTCTGCCGATTATTTTCGGCACCACTAAGTTATTAAAATGTTTGGACGAATTTTGTAGCAGAGCTATTTCGGTATCTTCATTCAGGGACAATGGTACTTGGGAGACGAGATCTAGCCGTGGAGCTACCCTTGTTAGAATATTTGTCGGAGGAAATTTCGATTACTGATTTTGTTGATAAGCAGAGGTGACTACAAGTTGGATAACTGGCTAATGGGTGTGTTAGTGTATGGAAATATTTACATGGCATGTTTATTTAAGACAAGAGTTCATAAGGAATCAACAGATTTACTAATGTCGATGCAGCAATAATTTCTGGCTCAAAACGCAGCGAAACATTCTGTTAAAGCAAAAGAGCCCTTGGTGCTTTTATTTTTTTGACAAAACGTCTTATTTAATCTTTAGGCCTCTCCTGTCATTTATTAATCACGTTATCCGTCAGTAACGTTAGTTCAAGATACTGTCTGTGATTTAATAATGAGACATTTTGCTAGTGAATGGACGAAATTAAGAATTGCAAAAGCTTTTAATGGTAGAGAAAATATAATATTCTACGTTTATTTATACTCATCCGTTGCGACAACGATAATAGTAACTAGTGGCTTATTAACTGATACCTTCTATCTACTGTAGAATACGGTGAACACACGGTAAAGAATCTATGCCGTCTCATGACAGTGTTTGGTGATACTTTCATTAATTACGTTGCCAAACACTTGATTCGCCCAGACATCTTGATATATTTGGAAATGATGCTTACGTTCACTGGCTTTCCCGATTATTATGCTCAAGATCAGAGTATAAATCTATTAAGCTTAATTAATGGAACTTTGTAAAATCCTCAACACCGGATTTGTTTAATTCTGGGCCCAGAATATTAGACATGTAGCAGTTATACTGTTTAAAGGGTTATTTGAAATATTAAGAGTAAAGCTGCAACTGCTACCGGAAGATGAATGGCATAAGGGTAGGTTGGAGTAGACAGACTTTGTTTATAGATAATTTTTTTTCTTTGCCAATAATAACATAACTGCCATCTATTAGAGACAAAACGAAAGTTTAGAACCTATCGCCGAGTGGGTTGACGGTAAGTGGTTTCCCTTGCCGTATACTGTTAGACATGAAAAAGATATTTAAAAGCGTATCCGATTGGTTGTATGAAAAAGTAGTGGGGAGTAGCTATGGTAATTATGGGTCGTTGACTGTTGTGGTTATCACACTGTGAACGATTGATGCATGTATAAGTGGCAGAAATTAAAAGAGAACTATAATTAGCATATACTGACACTAACGTACGTGTTGTTTATTAAGCACAGATATATACTCTTCGTTTCTGATGAGATTCAATGAACCTTTCCCCAATACCCTTTTCTGGATCCTCATGTTGCTCTTTAAACACGCTCGTTCCTAACGTACCAAATGTTATTACCATCCTTCCCAAGTTGCTAAGGCTGGGTGTAGCAGCGTCACGCCTCCCGAGCCATTCTGCGTTATAGACTCGTACGTACCGAATCTTCGCTCCAGTTTGATGACAATAGATAGGTCACGTTTGGGCGTCTCCGAACGTCTGAATTGGCCAGGTAAATCTAATTATTAATTAATCAAATATTAGAATATGTTTAAACAGAGTCGATATTCCAATTCACTTTTTCATCAATCCTCACCCCTAGATTCTATTTCGCTTCCATCAAACACCTGAATCCGATAACATACAATGCAGTTCGGTGCTTCTAGTACTCAAAAAAGCACAATATGAGCTTCGTATGGCCACGATACTTTCTTGTAATCAGAAAGAAGGGAAAGAAATTAACAGTAAAGTTAGAATGAGAGTATTTTGAACACTGTAGTACTCAATGTTTACTCCGCGTAATACCTCTTTGTTTGCGCACGCACGAACTACTGGTCGAAGATCTAAATGACAGGAATCTTTGCAACCCTACATCCGTATGCTTAAGAATACTGTGAATTCGTAATTATCCTTTCATCTTTCGGATGGAAGTCGGACTTGCTATTCCCGACGCGTATTGTTTAGAAACTGAGTCCAGATCAGGCCGGGAGCTCGGTAGTTTGCTATGTGGATTGCCATAGAAAATTGACGGTTTGAATATTTGAAGGTAGCTGTTGTGCCTCACAATCTTATCATCACAAGACCATATTGTCCATTTCATAACTGCTCCTTTGGAAACGAATACAACAATATCAATCGCTACGCGTATCGAATATCCGAAGTCTCTACCGTCGTCAGAAGATAAGTTGACTCTGGGTACAACAATAAGAGTATGAGAATTTACTGGGCGGATAATATTGTGACTCGCATGGCGAAAGAGAATGGTAGTAAATCTCAAGAGGTTGAAAGCCAATATGCGGGTTTTTTTGTATGCAACACACATGGAGAAACTAAGATTAAGATTCAAATGTCGTTAATCAACCAATGGAAAATCACTTCAATGATAACCCATTTTGGGCAGAATTTTCGGAGTTTGGGAGGTTATGCTCCATATAGTTAGGCAGCTTCTAAATACGGTTTAGATCAGAATGTCCATTTAAAAAGGATTTGCGGTAAACTATTGTCACCAACGACACTATGTCTGTATTTATCGTAAATATAAACCTTAAGCGCTCATCAGTTTTAGTGGAGGAACTTGCTACCATGCTTTGTGCCCGAACCTCCCACAAGATAAAAGGGATTCCGAAGAGGGGATTCCCATGCCTCGTACTCAAATGTGGCTATGTAGAGGACCTCGCTGACGAACTTACAATGCTCAGCCTACCACGTACACAACAACATGTACAATCAAAACTCGTACGCATATATGGCCGTTCTGTGGATGCCACAGTAGAACTCAGCGTAGATTCACCTAATATATTAGATTCACCTGAGTTAAGGAACGGTCATCCGTACATCCGCCAACAGTTGCACTTACGCCAAGAACATGTACAATCAAAATTCTTACGTGTATATGGCCGTTCTGTGGATGCCACAGTAGAACTTAGCGTGGATTCACCTGAGTTAAGGAACGGTCATCCGTACATCCGCCAACAGTTGCATCTGACGCCCGAGAACATCTATGCTACCCGTTCAAACTTCCCACAAGATAAAGGAAGATGGTCTCTTCAACATTCTTTAACGGATCGTCTGTCATCTCTTGCCATCACTCTCACTGATAGGATAGCAGCCATGACGAACTTACAATGCTCAACCTACCACGTACACATCAACATGGACAATCAAAACTCGTACGTGTATATGGCCGTTCTGTGGATGCCACAGTAGAACTTAGCGTGGATTCACCTGAGTAGCGAACGGCCATCCGTGCAATACTGGCGCACTTGGACGAGATAAACCTTGTGTTCACCACTGGACGAGCTACTCGCAAGAATTGCTCGTCCGCAAAACGAATTCGTCCTTTATCGAAAGGACATACAGACGGATTGTCCGCATATAAGTCAAAGACAACAGACGAACTACGAATTCTCGACGACATTGAAGAATTCCTGGAATTGCGGACGCGAGGTGGAGAGACGATTCTGAACCGAGAATGGAAGGTAGAAACTTGGTTTCGGGCATCTTCAAACAAATTCGTCGTCTACCATTGTATGAAAGTATGGCTTTGCCGAAGATATGGGGTACACTCGGGTTTTTATATTCCATAATAGTTTCTCTACAGTGTTATTTTAAAGAGGTATTTAAAGAACATAGATTTCTATCATGGTTTCTTATACTCATAAGCTAACTCTGTAATTGCTAATAGTAATAAAACTGTTTCCAATTTTTATTGTTATGTAACTTATTATTATGCCTGTCTTTGATATCACTGTCTCAACAAAGCTAATTAAGGCAAGAAATCTAATACAGTAATGGCTTGTTTACTTAATTGTAATAAAAACTACTGTCATCAGTAATCTTACTCGTTTTAACGTGTAACATGACTATGGTTCTAGTATGTTAGAATTGATTGACGAGATCCATACTTACCTGTGGTAAATAAAGCATAGCAGAATTAAAGCCGGCCTGGTTGACAAGAAGGCAGGATTTCTTAATAGCAAGGAATATAGGACAAGCATTTCTCATGACTCTGGAGAACTTATAAAACACCCTGATTTCTACTGGTTATTAATATGCCGTAACTTAGTTAAGCAATATCGACCTCACTCTGGGACCGAAGTGATGTTTGAATAGACAGTAAGATAAATTAGGGTAGAGACTATGACTATTTATGAAAGTGATTGAATATGGACGTGTACGTGGTAAAGTTCAAAACTGAACTGTAGTGATAGAATGCTGACGCATAGTCATCAACCACTCATTCAACTATGATCTAATTAATGTCTAATGAGTAAAGTTTACGCTTAACTCACATCATGTCGTTGATCAGTGTTGACGTAATCTAGCCTAACACTACAAATATAGGTATGTTACAGTATGTAGAGGCGAATGATTGTATTTACCACTCTTAATTTCTGCCACCACCTAACACTCCAACTCCCATCTTTTACTCACCAAAAAAATAAATATGCTCTGCCCTGGCTCATTTGTTTTAATGTCAGTCTCAATGTAAATATTGAATTACTTCGCTGGAGTTTTGAGCATGATTGTTGAACGCAGGCAAGATAGTAGGATAACATGAGCACACGAATATCATAGGTTCTAGATTTTCGGCAATCCTTTCCCTATATCCTTTTATAAGCGTTCCTCTTCCTCTTCAGAATTCCCATCTACCATAACTTCCGGGCAGGCTATCGAAGTCTACACGTCGACAAGAACCTCTTCATGCATTTCCCTAGATTTCATGTTGTTCTTCTTCGTCACATCTTCATCATGTCTTATTCGCCAGCCAGATAGATTAATTCTATATAGACAACCTTCCTCATACATCCTTCCTTGGAAGTTGTACCTTTCGCTTCCAATCCCATCCTCTCCAATCCTGGCTTGTCAACGTTCCATTTGACACCTACAGATTCGAAGAAAATCACGTCCTAAATCTCATCTAGCTTCCAATCCATCCCATTTGAAATGTGAGATATCTTCTAGACTTCCTAATTCCTAATGGCATCATCACTTGCTCGTCTTCGGTTCCACGTGTCACTCTGTTATTCAAACTCGAAACGATAGTCGGGTCGAATAGTGCGCATTGTAGTTATTCGCGTTTTAGAGCATCCGAGACTGTAATACCGATCTAAGCGCGCGCGTTAAATTGAGTAGGTGATGGAGGGGAAAAGAGGAAAGAGAAAATTTAGTAAATATTGTAGACTAAAGGAGAGAACATTATGAGCATAACATCCTACTAAAGATTTGCTATACTTTTGAATATTAATCAAGTTAAACCACATGATTCAATCAAAAATCACGTAGACACCACTGGACTCCGATTAAGCGCTCGTAATCCAAGAAAACTCTCCGTCTAGATGTTAGGAAACGGAAAGGTACGGTCAACATCTGAAATGGTAATGGAGACGACAAAAACATCTATCTGTCCAATGCGCATCAATTATGTTACCGCAGCAACTTTTCTGTATCATTCGCACTGACCTTTGTTCCACATACTTCATAATTCGTAGATCTATAATCGTTTGCAGGGCCTGCACGTAAGAGTCGTGAGTATAAAAAACTAAATTAAGGTCATTAACTGTTAAGCGGAGTAGAGGTATTGTCGAATATATTACTTATATCCACACCAAAATAGCGAGCCATTTTTGGGGTAGGGTAAAAGTAAGAACAAAAGCCGCGTGTTTGGTTTTTGGATCAAAATTGGGTGAATAGTGATTGATTATTAATTGCCAATCGCTCTCCCGTGGTAATTAACTCAACATAAGGAATATGTTATATCATTAGAAACATGCAAACGTGGAAACATTTCTTACAAACACAAATGCAATCATACAGTTTCACGCATTTCGGCATCCTCTCTTCATTGACATGTTTGAACAAAGCTTCATTAAACCATGTCTATTTTTTGAAAAAACAAAAGTTGCCTTTGATCAGAACATTGCATGTTAAGACCACAACTAACCTGTCGACTGCTTCCCAAATAACAAGTGAGTTCAAGAGTAAATATTTGCTATTATTGACGTGCATTGTGTATTCACTAAACGTCTGATTGTAAATATAATAGTGTGTGAACTATTGTCATCATCATCATAATTTTTTACATTTACCTTGTGCTATCACGTAAAGAATTTTGAACTTGTAAAACAACTTATTTCACAGTTTTAAATGGCATTGGACCCAGCTGAACAAGGCACGCGAAAATGTTAAAAAATGGGTAAGATCTAATCTTGAAAAACAGCTACTCTTAAAACTTTACTACACTCACTGGCCAAAAGTACTTGCCGAAATCTGCTGATCAATAGTAAAACATATGAAAAATCTAATTTTTTTGAA